AAATTACTCTTTAAATAGAGCATGTTTTAGCATATAATACTTTTCAATCAGAAACGCGCGTGCTTTGTTAGGGTCGAAGTACGGCGGATCACCGAATTCGTCCTCAGTGACGAGTTCAAATCTAGTTAATTATTTGAATTTTTAAGTTTCTTGGGCACTGAATTACCGTTTCGACGTCGATATTCTCGTCCGGTGACCAGGGCCTAGGCCTATGACCGGTACAGTATAAACCATACCTGGGTGGAGTTCTGACAAGTTCCTGCTTTTAGATTTCAAAAAGTACATTTTATGGCAAACCAAAATATATTACCGCTGGTATTTTACAGTTTTATAATGTACTAGTGTTTATTGATTATTTGAATTTTTACGTTTCTTGGGCATTGAAATAAATTACCGTTTCGACATCGTTATTCTCGAACGATGGCCAGGACCTATGGCCGGCGCAGTATAAACTAGACCTGGGTGGAGTTAACACTAGTAATTTTAATAACCTAGGAATAACCTAGGAAAAAATGTCATTTTTTGGTATAGGTCTCCAGGGAGTAGATCCCCGGCAACTATTGTATCTACTTTGGTGTTACATGGTTACATGTCTCATACATTTAACAGTAACACACGTGTGCTGTGTGTAGGGCCATTCTTTGATAGCAGACGACGTAACTTCCTGTGAGTTACATTGTCTATTAACAGGTAACTGTATGCGTATCGTGTGTGTAACGAATCTCCTTCGTCTGCCAGGATAACTAGGCCTATTTATGAGCGTCAGGGTTCAGCGGCGGTTGTACACCACCGACTTCACTAAACAGAAAGCAATCAAATAATACAGACACAATTTGAATTCACGATCCACGTGAGGCAAGTCAGTTTTTATTTCCAAAATAACTATTCTAGTACTCCCCCTTCATTGGGTCGTAGTATTCGTAAAGTAAACGTGCAACCTTGATGTAACAATAGAAGATCAATAACGGGAGTCTCTTCAGTACCGTACTAGTATGCTGATGACACGCAGTTATATCTAAGTTTCAATCCTGGCAAGTATAATGAGGCTAAGACGGTTATTGAAGCTTGTGTGAGGGACGTTCAGTTTTGGTTAGCAGATAACATGCTTAGTTTTAATCCCAATAAAACTGAGGTATTGTTCATCCACTCTAAGCACCTTAAAAGACTGCCTGTTATCGAAAACATTAACATCTGCGACTCCTCGATTGTTCCATCTTCAGCGGTTCGTAATATCGGTGTAGTTTTCGACTCTAATATGACAATGTGTAGTCATATTAATAACATCTGCAAATCTGTTTCCTACCACTTGCGCAATATTAGATTTATTAAGAAATTCTTAACCAACAAGGCTTTAATTAAAATTGTTCATGCATTAATAACATCTCGACTCGATTACTGCAACAGTATAGTATATGGCATTCCACATAAGCATCTTGTAAAACTTCAACTTCTTTTAAATATGGCAGCCCGTCTTGTAACCGGCACCTCCAGATTTGACCACATTTCTCCAACTCTCCGTCAATTACACTGGCTTCCGGTCAAGAAACGCATTGTGTTTAAGCTAATGCTTATTACATATAAATCATTGAACAACCAGTCACCAGCATACATCCGTGAGATGATTGTGACAAGATCCACGACTTGTACAAGATCCCTTAGGTCAACAACCGATAAATCTGTGCTATTCGTTCCCCAATGTCGTCTCAGAACTTATGGTGATCGAGCATTTGCAGTTGCTGCCCCTAAGCTTTGGAACAGCCTGCCCGATTATGTACGCCAGGCACCTTCAACTGGGATTTTCAAAAGCCGATTGAAAACTCATCTTTATAACTCACTATAGACCCTGTCTCTTATACACATCTAGATGTGTATAAGAGACAGGTCATGTGGTCGGCCTTGGTCGGTCAGTGAAACGGTGTGATGATGTGTGATTCTATTTTTTATCTGTTTTGTCGGTTATTCTGTTTGGTTAGTTTAGGTTATTTCCGGTCAAATTTATTTCCATACATTATTCACATATTTTTGAGACGGTTTCGATCGTGGAAGGCGCTATATAAATATAAAACCATAAACCATAAACCATAGTTTCAGGGCTATCTAGGAACCAACTGAAGTCTCCCCCATGTAGTGGGCTTATTTGCATAATTTTCCCATTCCCACAAGGGCCAATCAGAGCGTGGCTTACAGCTGTCTAATTAATTGGGCTACCACCCCTCAGGGCTGTTCCAACAATTGGGGAGACATCTCGTTACATAGCCCCCCCCCCCCACTTTCAGCCCGATTCGTTCCTTGAATCGA